AAGCCAGGTTACGGCCACAGACGTTGATCAGGAAGATTTTTTGTCTTCAAAAATGATGTCGGGTCCTCAGAATGACCTCTAACATTAGCAGCAGCGATTTCCGAAAAATGACCTTGAATGACCTTAACCTTGAAACATAAAAAATGAATGTCGCGCAAACTTACTATATTCGATTCCTAGGCCAATAGCATGTTTGGTTGCAAAGTTATTGGCGTTCAACATCATACTAAGTAGCTGAATAGCCCTGTATTTTGTTATTTTGTTTATATTTTTTTGTTGAGTTTTTTGTTCAAATTTTTTTGTTGTTATTTTTACATTTTATGCCTCGAAAAATCATTTGTTATAGTTAAAAAATAATTTATCATTATATTAAATTCAAAACAGTTAAATTAAGAGGTGTACGAAAAATTTTGTCCAGCACCATATTACCGCTAGTATGCTTTAGCATCTTACGTATAGTAGATGGCGTTTATCAAAAAAAAGATATCCGTGAAACTAGTGTAATAAAAATAAAAAACAAAACACACCTGTCATCATTGAGTAGGACTTCATGCAAAAGTCTCAACAATTTTTGAAGTTTGTCTAATCCGACATTATCCTTGTTATATGTTGATCAAACCTTAAGCAGATCATGATAAACCAAGTCAATTTGACCAATACTGCCAGAAATTTTAACTAGACTAATATCATATAAATATCATAGTTTAATTTAGGGTTTTCGCCTGTGCCTTCAAAAAGATTTTGTAATCTGTTCAAATAAAAATAAATGTAAATTAGATGTTTGATGAAATGATTATCAACATAATGCATCAATCTAAATAGCCTAAGTTTAATCACACTCATATTTTAATGCAAATCAAGGCAATATTAGAAGTTGAGACTTCCACCAATTTTGCATAGAAAGCATTCACCAATTCACTGCATATTGGATTGGTTTGCGGTACTTGGATAAGCAAGGAAACAATACTATTTAAAACAGACTGTTTATCCGCATCTTTATCCTCTTTGAAACATAGATCACAAACTTCAATAATTTTAGTCAAATCCTTGAGAAAACCATCCTCATCTTTCTCAGTATGATTAGCA